CCTTCAGTATAAACAAGTCTCGTAGGTCCTAAAAAGTCATTTGTGCACCAAAGTAGCCATTTATTGTGTGACACCAGACATTTGACTGACCTAACACAGCTTCCTTGCAGCTGGCTGTAATTTACAACTTGATAGCAGCTGTCACAAGGAAAAAACCAGGTTCATTATCTGATTTGTTTCTGCCATCCCTGCACTCATAGAGTCCATTAACAACAGGGATATGTGCTTTTTAAATTACTGAATTAGTCATTCTTCCATTAAAAGAGTAGACTTACAAAGTAAAAGAGAACAGCCTCTTACAACATTTCCTGCCATTTCTCTGTCTAGTTGTGTTCATTTATTCCATTTACAGGACGTGTGCTGAACTCTGTTTTCAGTAGGCAAGGCCTTATCTGTCCTGTCCTGATGCTTAAGCCAGAGCAAAAGCCACCCCAGACCCTCAGAAAATGTGTATTGGATTAATGAATAAATGAGAGAATGAATGGTCACTACCCAACTGCAGAGTCGATTGGCTACTTTGAAAGGAGGAAGAAGAACCATTGATTTCTCTGGCCTATGAGAGCCTACAGCCTAACTAAAAATTCCAAACTTAGGGAGAGCGGTGGAAACAGGGGAATGGAGGGTCGAACAAGTGGATTGTGGTGGAGGACTGTGGGTGCTTAGTAGAGGGGAGGATATGGTAACTACACCTGGGGAGAAATGCTATACCGTCCAGACACAGCAAGGATGTGAAATAATGGTACAATACGATAATTAAAAAAAAAATTAAAATAAGAATACAAACTGTCACGCTGTCTGCTGTCACCCCTAACATTGGAGAGAATTCAACTTTTTCTGGATGAAAATTAACAAACTCTCCCCAAAACTTGTCACCTTGTCAGTGGCAGTAAGATTTGATCATAAGACCTGTCAAAAGTAAGACAATAAGTAGCTAGAAACCACTGATAAATTGCACTAGACCAATTGAAATTGTCACCAGTACTTGCAAATATTTAGAATGTATTTTGTAACAATTATATCAGTTGTGACTCTCAGCAACAATTATGTTTGACAACCTTAATTCAATACTGTCTTATTTATGATTTTATTCTATTCTTACCCAGGTAAGGCTCTCTGACTTCCCCCTCAGTAGGCAAGTCGCCCTGCTGAGGAGACACTTAGCAACCTGTGCTTCTATTTTCCTAACACTTTATCACATTTGATCATAATTAATTTTAACTACATTAAATTCCCAGAGGACATGTGTGTAGCTTATTCAATGTAGTGAGATGAATTAATATGTTAAGATGATCAGGGTCTCACCAACTAGGATACCCAAAAAAATGAGGCTCCTTTGGAACAAAAACACTCTAAGGAAATCTCCCTTTCCTAGGATGACAAATCATTTTGCCTTACAGCAGTGTTCATAGGCATTCGGTAACATTTAGTCATCAAAAATATTACAGAACAAAAGAAAATGTCTGCCTTTGTCTTACCAACCCTGGCGCCACCTCCCACCCCCCCAACACACACACACAAATCCCTTTTTTTCCCTCTCTGGTTCTCCTAGTCTATAAAGTCATAGAAGGTACCAGATGTTTGGAGGAGGCTGCACCCCTCAGCCCATGTTTCAGAGTAGAAGCACGATTGATTGCGACCCTGTAAATGTAATTGGAGCCTTCATGTTGTGCCCAAGAGCTCAGTGCCTTCTGCAATGTGGCCGTGGTCAAGTGAAACAACACATCCTGGGAGGCTTGGCATCCATGCCAGAAGGTAATGGATTTGCTGAAACAACAGGCTCTGCCCACAACCTGTTTTCCTCTAGGAAATTCTAATTTAGGGCAACATTTTTCAAGAAAACCCATTTGCATGTAGGCAACATTCAAGAGCCAGGCCGGAATAAGCAGGGTAAGAGAATGCATCGCACTTGGGTTTAAGCAAGGACTGCACAGTGACTATCAATGCCTCCAAGACATTTCCTCCTGCAGCACAGCTTCAACAATGAGGACAGGCTCGGAACCAGCTGGTGTCCCTCTCACTGGCCCAGCTCGGGGGCGGTGTGTAGTGGGGCACACCCGTCCACTTAGGCCCCACAAGTGTGAATGCCATGAAGCCAGAATGCTTTGTACTAAGGAAACAGTACAAACTGGGGAACCCCTTATGTTCCTAGAAAGCTGCCAAAGGTCCCTGGCAGAGTGATCTGAGGCTTTCAAATACTCTAAAATGGGGGTAGCAGCATTTGCTTCCAAGCAGACAGCAACATTAAAACAAAAAAGGGGGCGGGGAGATAGCTTCCCTTTTCCTACAATAAGTAATTGATAAAGAATCTGCACAGGGCAGAGTTAAGTCCTAAAGAAAGACCATGAGCGAGTGTCTGGAGTACGCTTGATTTTTTTTTTTTTTCTTTCTAGGATTAAAAAAATAAAATCCTACAGAACTTCGGAAGTGAATAGAATACCACTGGGGATTTCCCTCGAACAATTAAAACACTTCATTTTATCAGCCAAATGCCTTTTTTTTGACCCCATCCGGACACCAAGTGCATTCTAAATAGTCACAAATCACTTTCAATTAATTTGTGGGACAGTAAAGACCTGTGAGACTGTGCCACACATTTGACTCCCATTTTTATTGGTGGCAGACAGCGAGGAGCCAGAACGTTCTGGATGAGCACCTTCTAGAAGGTACAAATGGGCATCGACGCAGCAGCCAGTGATGACACACAACTGACAGCAACAGGAGCGAAGGGTCTGATGCACGCTAGGAGCCTACCAGCCACCGCAGGTGCTGGAAGAGAGGGCTATCATATGCAATTTTTGTGGGATTACTGATTTGCTCACTGATTTTTGCTGTGACATTCATCAGCATTGTAACACTGTCATTTTGGATGTATCTGTGTGGAAAATGCAATCATCACCTTTGACTATTTCCTGCAATATATTTGTGCACTAACACTTCACAGTGAGCAGCGAATTAGCACGAGCATATTTTCTGCAAGTATTATTAGCATGAGACTATTTTGCAGCTTCCTCTATGCTGGTGAGTACTCCTCAGTGCTAGGGCAAACCAAAGAAGTATTTGTTCCGACATCTCTAGGACTAATTTTTAAAAATGAGATACAGGGGAACAAAGGGGAAGAAATGTATTAATGAAGGACTAACCACCAGGATCCCTTTCCATGAAGATACATCCAACACAGGATGTTTTCACGTTTTAGTTTTTCAGATGATCTTTCAGACACTCAATTTCACATCAAATAGAGGAAACGTGATTGACTGAAAGCATAGGATTTGTTTTACATAAAAACATCCAACCAGCACTGGAAAAATGCCAATGAAGAAGTCATTATTGCTCTTGTAAGGTGAAAAGAGCTAGTCTCATTCCTAATTGTATCCTCCTCTGAGTGACAACATCCACAATCCCAACTTCATCAGGAAGTGACAGACTGACCAAAGACAATTTAACTGTTACTAGGGTAGTCTGAACCAAAAAGCATGAATTACCTTGATGACTCAAAGTGATGCTATGAGGTTTAATCTGGCTTTTAAAATATCCATTTCATTTTAGATAAGGAAAGTTCCGATTGAATATGTTTTATTAGCATTATTTTTGGGTATCATGTCATTGCCAAAATTAATCTAAATCAGTATTTTAGAAGATGACTTACTCATAGTGCCTTTTAAAATTCACATCCCCCTCTAAAGTCTAAACCAGAACAATAATCTTAACAAAGAGTCATTCATATTTGAGTTAAAAGGGTACCTTAATGAATCATTTTTAAAAACTCCCTCGTTTTTCAAACAAAGCAGCCTAAGGGCTTACAGATTTTGTCCTCCCACTTAACAGAGTGAACCCAGTATTTCAATGCATTCTCCCGGAAGTGATTTCTGAGATTTTATTAGATACTTTCAAAGGAACGTACCCATTCTAAAATCTCTTTTTTAAAAACTTCAAAAACCATTTTCTCTGGTTTTCCTAAGCATACTAACATGTCAGCCGATGGTTTCGGCAGCCAGAGCTGAATGCTTGTAACCAAAGCATATCTCTACACAGGGGGTTTGGGTTTCCTTGCATTCCAGCACATTTTAGATCTTCTCCTATCCTCCCAGATCTTAGATGTCAGAAACCTTTACTCATGCACTCTGGTTTAGAGGTTTGCATAAGTGAGGAAGGCCCTCCGAGGCTGACTAATGTCACTGCCATTTGCACCGATCAGCTTGTCACAATGCAATTGCAGTAAATGCAATGGAAAGTACTTTTATTTGAAGGCCCCTTGACAGAGGGGGAGAAAACACATTTACTCTTTCAAGGCCAGTGCATTTTGCTGGGAGAAGTCTGTTTATAAAATGGGTCCTTTTATCCTTGGAGAGCTCTTTGGGAAAGATCTTTTTGGCAGTGCAGCCCCCAGAGTGATTTGTGCATCTGAAGAACAGAACCACGATTCACAGCCCTTTCCTGCATCTTCCCCAGCAACTTTCCTCCCACCTCCTAAAGACCAGAAGGTAGTTTCATGCTAGTGGCAGAAGCACGCTTCTCCACCCAACAAGGACAGAAAATTGCATATTTTAACAAAAATGTTGAGCTAGTCTCATCATGGCTGTTTAAGGAAACAGTTGTTCACTAGTATTTGTTGACAATGTCTTCAATAAGAAAGAAACAATGCTGCGAACACTTGTTTGGACAAGATTCTTTTCCAACTTGTCCCCTCTCATAGGAGCTCAAAGTCATTCAACAGGATGACTTTTATCTTTATCCAAGATATCAGCTCATTCAGTACTGTCTTTAACAGGACAATCCTTCACAATATACAAGGAAGCCTTATTTTTCAGGATAAAGAACAAAGAAAAATGCAAAATAATGTTTACAGTTAGCTAACAGCTATGATTTTAATCCTCTAAGCCTCTCCAAGTCACCACAACTGGAAATCTGCCCACCAAGTGTCACAGACATTAGCTGTCCCCGTGTCTGTTTTGCATCTAGGTCAGGGTGAGCGGTGTCGCCAATGTTTAGAGGTTCCTTACCTATAAACAGATTCCACTCCGTGTCCAGATCGGCCTGATTGGCCAAGCAGCCCTTCATGACGTTGAGGCAGTAGTTGTTGCAAGGCCTGACGGCCGGCAGCCCCCGGCAGTAAGGACAGTACAGCATCTTCATGAGGGCGCGGATGCAGCCTGGGGTCGGGCTGACCTGTCGATTTATGGAAAAGAAGAAAAGCAGATATGAGAAGCATGGAGGGGAGAACAAAGCAATAATTCATCTTTTCTTTCTACTCGAGCATGTTGAACTGTATTGAACCCTTTGTAAAACTCCACCTGGAAGCCAGTCCATTCCTAATTAAATACTTTGTTTGGCAGAGTAGTCATCAATTTTCTTGAAATGTCCCTATCAACAATTTGGTCTCTATCTCATCATCATCCAGCCCGAAACCCACGCTCTGTTTCGTGGCCACAGAACATGAAATGAGATAATGCCTGGGAAAGCAATTTGCAAAGTTAAAAGCCCTATAAAAATGTAGGTATGATTAAAGTTTAATGTGACACCTTTAGAAAATTTTCCAACTGGTTATTTGACCCTGTTTCTAAAGGAGTCTGGCAGATATACTTCCTTTGTATATAACTTTTTAAAAGGGATCAATATCAACTCCTCTGGGATTTCTGAGGTTCAGTCCTGCTTAGAGGCCATGAAACTGCCAGGGCATCATTCTTCGGCAACTGCAGCTCTACAGTCCTGGGAACTTGGTAGAAAATGGACCCAGTGTTGAGTGGGAGGAGAAATTCTTGCAGCAATTCAGAGGCTAACTCATCCACCAACAATGAAGTGCTCTTTGCCCTGAATTTGAAAAGCCCTGAATCCACTCTAAACTAATAAGATATTTGTTAGACTCACTGAAAATTCTAATTTGACTTCAAGAGGAAAGAATATTTAAAACAGAATAACAGCAATAACAAAAAATACAAAAAGTGCTGTTCCTGACTATAGGCCAATAGTATTGTCATATTTATGTGGTTGGTTCTGAAGAATATTGTTGTTTTTGTCAAATACTACATATTGTGAAGTTGCCTTCTAGGTTTGAAACTAGCCTGCTTTGTGTCATCTGGACCATATGGAGAGTTAGTCTTCCCAGCACCACCTGTGTCCACCTGTTTCACCTGAGCTGGCTAAGCTGTCCATTTATACATCTAGGACATGCAGATAGTGACAAAGCATCGAATCAATGGAAGAGTAAAGAGATGCTTTCAATTCCTCTGGCTGAGAGCTGTTATATTGTCCTTTACCCAGAAACCACAAGAGGACTTCAACTGAAGGATTTGTTTTTGGTAAAATTTTCTTAATTTTATGGTGTACATGGACTAAGATCCTAATACATTATTTCAGGAAATGAAATCATTTATTTATTTCCTCAGGTTCTGACATATCTAGTTGTCCTTTTGATTTTTTTTCTTTCTAAATTTTATGAAATTTTCAAACATCCAGCAAAGTTCATGTTGGCTTTTCTTTATATATAGATATGTAGTGGATGGTATTTTTTCATTTTTCCCAAAATTCATTTTCCAACAACAAAGCAAAAAGAAAAAAATGAGTGCCCTCATAGCATTATCTCCATTTTTTTTAAATTTAGACAACATTGGTTTACAGCTTTTGTTTGTGATTTAGAGGTAGAGAATGGCTCCCTTCGGGGGCACCCGCACCACACCCACCAACGAAACACCCATAGCCCTTCACCACAGTCCATCTTCCTCCCGTACCCCTTTGCTCTCATCTCGTCTTTCTCTCTGGCAGCCTCAGTTCTATGGTCAGATTTCTAAGGTTTGTTATTAGTTTGGCTTTATCTGACCCTTTGTGTTGTTTCTCTATATTCCACATAGAAGTGACAACTGAGCAGCTCAATTTTAAAATTTTCTTTTCTCCACATATATCCCAAGTCATCAGAGGAAATAATTCAGAGAAAAAAGAAATTAATGTGGCCCTTCAAGTCTGAATGCATCTTGATTCTTTGGCCTGGTTGCAATCCTACACATCTTTGCCTGTAGGATTTTGTTTCACAGCCCTCAATTTCTCTCCTGGCCCTGATGTGTTTCTCCAGAGACCTACTCTATTTTCACCTGAGCTGGCTAAGCTGTTTCTTCCTTTGTCTCTGTTGGATTTTTCGTTTTCTCACACTGACATTACATGATGCTTTGCTTCTTCTCACTCAGTATGCTATGGTATAAAACTTGCAGCATTTGTCAATATTGCAGATGCAAACTTGAGATCTCACAGACAATGTGGACAGTCTATTTCATTATTACAACCTACACTGTTTGAGATAACATGAGTATGTTTAGAATGTATGATGATGATTTAGGTGCTCATAAGTGCTTTTGGAATTAAACTCTATTGTGTTCCTCAATTTTTTGGCCACCTTGATAATCAAAGAAAAAAGGAACAAGATTGTTTTCTGTATCTCAGCATTCAATTGTTGCTTTTTAACTTTGTTTTCAAAGGTTATTGATTGCATTAATTCCAAAGCTTGGCTTTTTTAATTTTTTTTTTTTTTATTCTCTGGGAACCAGTGACCATTTTCTCAGTCTGACATTTCAGAAGAGGATCCAACTCAGGGTAGCAACCCAACAGAGAAAATTGAACAACCTTAAAAACCTAAAAGACCAATGTTGTTCAGTTAAATATGACTCTCTCAGTACTTTTGGAAATGATATCCTTCCTGGTCAAATAAAGGGCATCTGGAGAAGAGGAAAATGGAGAATGAAGGATCAAAGTTGAAGCTTTCATGTCCATAGATCAGATTTTTTAGCTTGAACTAAAATTAAAAAAAAAATCATTTCATGCAGAATACTTTTAGAAGTAAGCCTCTGAAAAATGAGGCCGTTTGAAATGTGTGAAGGGATATTTCTATTTTTAATTGTTTAATAGTTTTACAAGTGTGCTGTAATTATTTTTCAAAACCATCTAATTTTGAAATCAATATTAACTCAAAAGAATTTGAAAAAATGGTAGAGTCCCGGGTTCCTTTTGCTCCCTGTCCTCCACTGGCAACATCTCAGATAGCTGGGGTACAACACCCAAAGGAGGAAATTGACATTGGTTGCACTACTATGAGCTAGTCTACAGACCTTATTCAATTTCCATGATTTTCCAAACTGCATCTGTGTGTGTGGATATGTCACCTTTATGCACTTTCACTGTGCAACATTACCACATCTGACACAGAGTCTTTTCCACCACAAAAGAACCCCTGTGCCTTCTCCACCACGTTCCTGTCCCCTTCCAATCTACTGGCACTAATCTATTTTCCATCTCTATAATTTTGTCATTTCAAAAATGCAATATACAGCTATTATACAGTATAGAACCTTTTGAGTTTTACTCTTGTTTTTTTTTTTACTCAGCATGGTATCCTTGAGTTCCAAACAAGTTGCTGCATGTATTAATAGTTCATTCCTTTTAAAAAAAGATTTATTTATTTATGTGTACAAGAACTGGGGTACAGACCAGAGGTGTGGTAGGGTGAGAAGATTCACCAGAGACAGAGTGCGGAGCAGAACAGGTGGATTGACTAAAATTCACTGCTGAGGGGTGCTGTGGATAAGACAGGAGAGGTCTGCTGTGCTATGTGGGTCAGCTCCATGACTGGAGATTGAACTCATGCTGCAGTAGCTGTGGATAGCTTCATAGTGCTGACGCTTAACTGCTTGCACCACCAGGGAGGCCACAATAGATCATTCTATTAATGAGTAGTATTCTATTATTTGGATGTGCCAGAATTTGTTCAACTCTTCACTCACTAAAGGTTATCTGGTTCCTTATCAGTTCTTTTCTATATGAATAAAACTTCTGGGAGCATGCATGTACACGTTTTTGCATAGATATAACTTGCCATTTCCTGGAATGAATGCCCAAGAGTATAACTGATGTGTCAAATGATACATGCTTAGTTTTATAAGAAATGGGCAAGGAATTTTCCAGAGTGGTTGCAGCATTCCCCATTCCCACCAGCAATGTGTGAGAGATTCAGTTTCCCCACATCCTTGCCAGTATCTGATATAATCACAGTTTTGCAATTCAGTCAACCGAGTATGATTTTAGTATGAAATCCTTGCATCGTGAGTTTAGTCCTCCCATTAACATCTTTGGATGCTTTTTGTATACAATGGAAGATTATGAATTATCATTTTATATCTGATGTTACAGTTGACTGGCTTTGGGAAATAATAACTTGAGGAATATAATAATATAACTCATAACTCAGGTTCCATGTGAAATAACTGAAAAATAAATTAAATAAAATTTATTGAGTTCTGAGTTTGTCACCTTATCATTTTGTTGTTGTCTGGGTTTCGTTTTTTTAAAGGTTAAAGCAAGATATATTGGAATATGGCAAGAAACACAAAAAGAATGCTCTAAAAAGCTGCATTGGGAGATAGCACTAAGACTGATCTACCTGGCTAACCAAGTGTGTCAGGATGTTATAGCAAGTAATTTTTATGCTTTCTAAATGCAATTTGAGACATAGCATACCCTTAGCCATATAATAGCAATTCATTACAGATCTTTAGCATACTTAAGATTTTTTATATCTAAACCAACATTCATGGCTGGCGCTCACATTAGCAACTTCTAATAGTAGTCAATGTAAAATAAGACTGTCTGTTAGAATATTTTTCAAAAACAAGAAAACACGTGAAAGTGATAACTCTATATTTATATACAATAACCAGATACCTAGCAAGTACTCGTTTCTATGGAAATCATGTAAGCAAAATAATCAAATAAACATGTGTCTTCTCTTTCCTAAAGATCAATAAGTTAATGTAAGTGGATAACTTAATAAGAATAAATTCAACATACATTTCTTTTCTGAGCAAGTGTCGATGCTATCTTCCAGAGTTGTATTCAACATGGTGAGAATTCTATTCTTCATTTTAAAAGATCAGAGACTCTGAAGTGTCTTCAAAACTCTCAAGTGATTAAATGATACTGAAAATACTTCTTATTTAATTAATTTTCATTATGATTCTTTTTTTTTTTTTAAAGATTTATTTATTTATTTATTTATACAAGCACTGGGTACAGTCAGAAGCGTGGGAGGGTGAGAGAATTCACCAGAGCCAGAGCAGGGAGCAGAGCAGGCAGAAGGACCGAAGTACACTGCTGAGGGGAGCAGGGGGGTGCAGGAGAGGTCTGCGCTC